AAAATATATTATTATATAACTGTTTTTATGCATATTGACAAGTTGCAAAAAAATTTTATGATGGAAAAATATGAAAAAATTAACACTTAAAAAACTTTTTGTCTATTTTGAATTTTTTCATTTTTTAAAGAATAAGAAACCCATTTTGTTTTGAGAGATGTTATTGAGCTATGAAAGCACTATACAAAAACAATCAAAAATATTAAAAAAATTGTGTTCTTCATGGCTAAAAATGGCGCCAAACAATATGAGTTTTTCAATTTTTTTAATACAAAAAATTCATTAAGATATACTGGCTCGTCTGAGAGATGTGGCGTTCTACATAGGTACAAGTTTAGAAAAAAAATCACTCCAAAATTGGAGGGTGGTGTCACAAAAATTTTCATAACTTGAAAATAATTGAGTTTTTTTTTTATAAAAATTTTATTTCAGAGATGGTCGGCAGTGGACCACGGTTCAAGTTGACAGAGAATTATATATATATATATAATATATATTATATGTTATATGGTCTCAGCCATTGCTCATCTTAGAAATTTATATCGAGTCAGACATTTGCTGGATAGATCAACTCTGGAGGATCTGGTCCATGCGTTCATAACATCACGACTGGACTACTGCAACAGTTTGTTTTACGGTTTGCCTAATAGATCAATTGACATGCTTCAGTCGGTTCAGAACAGGGCTGCAAAACTTGTAACTGGCAAATTGAAATTTGACCATGTAACTCCAATATTGAACGAGCTTCACTGGTTACAAATTAAGAAAAGAATAATTTTTAAAATTGCAGTGATTGTGTTTAAATCCTTGAATGGAATGTCACCGGCTTACATCTCAGACAAATTTTCCAGGAAGGCATCTACAACCTGTTTTCATCTAAGATCAGATAATATGAATCTTTTGGCGGTCCCAGCTAGGCATCTACGAATAGGTGCGAGAGATATTGCGGTCGCAGGTCCGACAGTCTGGAATGACCTACCAGTTTCATTAAGAAGATCTGGAATTAACTTTGTGACATTTAAAAGGGAATTAAAAACATACTTATTTTCTGTGGAAAAACAATGAATTTGAATATTTTGATTTATATCAATCATGCACAGTTATTTGTTATTTTATTTTTGATGGCGCTTTTGAAATTATTAATTTGCGCTATACAAATGTTTCTAAATAAAATAAAAATAAATATATATACATATATATATATTATTTATATAATATATATATATATATATATATATATATATATATTATAGCAAGTTACATAAAGGCTGTGAGTATAATATCATTCACGATTAAGGTTTCAATTAGTCCAAAGGTTACAACGAGTCGTCATTCTCGTTGGTTAATTAATTCAGAAGTAGGAATTAAATGAATGCTCTGATGTATTGTTTAAAAGATAAAAAGTACAGTTGGTGTTATGAAACCACTCCTCAGCCAAGAGCAAACAACAGGGTGTTTTTCTGGCCACGAGGTAAAGTAATGGGAGGATCATCTTCTTTGAACGCCATGGTGTACGTACGGGGTCACCCATACGATTATGATCGTTGGGAACAAGAGGGAGCCAAGGGGTGGTCCTACGCCGACTGTTTGCCTTACTTCAAGAAAGCTCAAACTCATCAATTAGGAGGTGATGATTACCGTGGTGACAGTGGACCGCTCTACGTGTCCAGAGGAAAATGGAACAATCCATTGTACCATGCTTTTGTTGATGCCGGCTTGCAAGCTGGGTATCAACATACAGAAGATTGCAATGGATTTAAACAAGTTATTCTTTGCTCACATTTTGCTCACATTTTGCATTCCTCAATTTATTTTTTGTATAATACATTAAGTATTGTATTTTATACATTTTACATTAGTCGTGCTATAAAATTAATAATTTGGGCCTCGCTTTACACAGAATGGGTGGTGTGATGGTCTAGTGGTTAAGGTTGCCTGGCGCTGTTTTGCAGTGCGTGCGGCAGCGTGCGGTGACCACGTTTGTAAATTTATTTTAATAATTTAACAACTATATACTGTATCAACGCAAATAGTTTCATACATCGAAGAGGAAAATTTAATAGCTTAACTCTGGCGGCCAAATAATAAATATTTTTAATTATTTATTTCCTAGACAATAGCAAGCAAAAAATAAACATGCAAAAACATTTTCAAAGTCGATGCATCCACGCAGTGGCACTAGTTTATAATGTTTATATAAATGCTCTCTGCCTTCATTTTTCTTTTCTTCAGCTTTGAAATTCAACATAATACGGTTTAAGATCTTAGAAATTTTGTTTACAAAGTAAACACGAATGACCATCTTTTACTTAATGTTCCTTTAATGAGCAGCACAATTTGTTAAGTAGCTAGAAATAATAATAATGAAAAATAGAGGTCTTAAATCAAGGGGAGGTCTGTCAAACCCGACAATCTCAATCAGCTTGGCTATATAAGACCAGTAAATAAAACTAAATATGCGTCAATATTATTATATATCAGTGAGTTGGTTTGAGATCGTCCTGCTTGAAAGGCCTAACCCTTTAAGCAATGCATCAAAGTTTTTGTCTGTTAAACAAAATATTTAAAATATTATAATATAATTTTCTATATGCAGGAAGGATTTGGACATTTTGACATGACCATAAAAAATGGTGTAAGATGCAATGCTTCCATGGCTTACATTCATCCAATTTTATCAAAGTATAAAAATTTGAAAATTTCCACAAATTCGATGGCAACGAAAGTGATCGTTGAAGGCTCCAAGGCTGTTGGTGTTGAATACAAGCAAAACGATGCGACGAAATATGCCAGGGCTCGCAAAGAAGTAATTTTGTGCGGTGGTTCAATCAATTCACCACAACTTCTACTGCTATCTGGAATCGGTAATGCCGATGAATTGAGAAAGTTAGGAATTCCTTGTGCTGCAAATTTACCTGGGGTTGGAGAAAATTTACAAGATCATTTAGAAGTTTACATTCAATACAAATGTTCGAAACCTGTGACTCTATACAAATATCAGTGGAAATTTCCTTGGAACATGGTAACGACAGGTCTTCAGTGGTTTATTACAAAATCTGGTGCAGCTTCTACCACGCATATGGAGGCAGGTAGTTTTTTCCGAAGTAGTTCCAAGGTCGCACATCCTGACATTCAAATCCACTTTTTGCCATCTGTGGTGATTGATCACGGACAAAAAATGGGTACATGTCACGCCTTTCAAGGACATAGCGGAACAATGAGAGCCACCAGTAGAGGTAATTTGAAACTTAAGTCAACAAATCCATTTGATTCACCTCTGATTAATCCAAACTATTTACAAACTGAACAAGATATTGTAGATTTTAGAGCCTGCGTTCGTCTCACAACAGAAATCTTTTCTCAAAAAGCATTTGACGAATTTAGAGAAGAGGTTTTAGATAAAAATTTAAGGCTAAATTCAAATGATGAGATTGACAGTTTTGTAAGGAGTACTTCTGAAACTGCGTATCATCCCTGCGGTACTGCCAAAATGGGCTCTGAAAACGATAAAAGTGCAGTTGTAGATTCAAAATGTCGTGTTTTAGGAATAGACAAACTGAGAGTGGTCGATGCTTCAATCATGCCAAGCATTCTCAGTGGTAACTTGAACGCTCCGGTAATAATGATGGCAGAGAAAGCAGCAGACATGATTTTGGGAGTACCTCCTCTGCCCAAGTTGCATGTTCCTGTTTGGAAGCCAAGTGATCCTACCAAGCAGAGATAGAATTTTTAGCCTGATATTAATGTTAATTAAATACTAATCAAAACATGATTTTATTGTATTTATTGTATGTATTTATTTATTTAAAATGGAAATAAATTGTAAACGGAATGAAACGTGCACCATATTTTAAGACTTTGTTAAATATTCGGCTTGTTAATTTATTTGTTATTTTTAATTAATATATTGAAACTTCTGGAATATAATGTTATATGTATATACTGCTTTTTACAATAACAACCTAATGTGTATTAGTTTATATCAAATTCATTACTAATGGGCTGTTTAAATGACAAAAGATGTAATATTATTCGAATGATATTTTTCAAATATTTCATTACTCTTGGTTTTTTTTTCATTTTTTAAAAGTTTCGTTTCATGGCTAAAGCAGAAAAAAGATTAATTAAATCAAGATAATTGTAAATTTTTTACGAATATATTGTATATATATCCATGAGCTATTCACTAAAACTATAAATTAATCAGTTACTGGGTTATCAGAATTTACGCAATTATTTATTCGGAAGAAAATTAATCTATCTGTTTATTATTTATACCAAAATACAAAGAAAGACAAAAGAAATAAATTTTTACGACATAGGCGAACGAAATAAATTTTTAAGGCAAAACGCTGAAATTAATAAACTTTTACAAATCGAGGATAATTTAAAAAAAATTTACGACCTACGCAAACAAAGAACTACTTTTGTATCTGTGGATAAATTTATGTATATAGGTAACCACTTTTGCCACATATCTTCATTGATTAGGGTTGGTTAATTTTTGACCGCCTTTATAACAAATAAATCGTCTTCGGTGTTCTTCAATTATTTTTCATTATTTCAATTTTTTATATTTGCGTTTATATTTTAATCGAATTATATAAAACTTTGTGAATCTTTTCATAAAGTAACATAATTTATTTTATTATATTTTACGATAAATTTTTAAATTTTTTGTAAATAAAGTATCAGTTTTCTAAGTTTCGTCATCACAACGGCTTCGGACCGTTTTATAATGCAAGACACGGATCCGGCCTAAATACTACTGTTGGAAAAGAACAGAAGAACTGTCAAATAAGAAACGACAATTTTGTTTCTAACGTTAATTTTCCTACGGTCATGAATAACAAATCTTAAATCGATAATAATTACATTCGATGTCGCAGTTTAGCGCCGGCTTTTCAACAATTTCAACAACAGCATCAAAACAATTTATTTCAAAATAACCAATATCAACAGAGGAATAAAAATAATTTCAATAATGGAATTAAACAATTTCATCTGCCTCGTCATAACATGGAATTTATTTGTCATATTCACCATTTCGATCATGGAGAAACATATCGCAGTTGTCGTCATCCTTATGATGATAACGAGGAATACAATGCGAAGAGATTAAAATTGGACAAACAAGGCGATAAAATGTTTTTGAACAAAACTCAGAACAATCATCATCAGCTCGTTTTTGTACCTTCAAATGTTCGAAAATATAACGAAGCACCCAAGAACATGCTATTGAACAAAAATAGGAAGTATACAAACTCAACGAGGACCGTCAATAAATGGCATGGTGAGTTTAAACAAAAACAAAATACTTGTGATAAAAATGTTGGAGCCCAATCCACTGCCGATTCTATTATTATCGACAAATTGTTTGAGAATCTAAAAAAACTAGATTGATTGAATCAATTTCAACAGAAACAAATGAACTTATCCACAAAAAATGGTCCAATTATAAAACGCAAAATGCAGAGATGGTAGTGAGTCAATTTACAAAAGATGTTTTGTCTGAGCAGCCAAACCTAATAGCAAAACAAAATTTGATAGAAGGACTTCAATGCGACATATGTGGAGTAAGGTTAAAAAAAGATAATCCATTTCAATCTCTAGAACTGGCTAAAGATACAGATGAAGAAAGATTGAAGAGTCATTTGCTAAAACATTTGAGAAATAGAGAAGAGACGAAAATGCGTCATCCAACTATAAATGATTGGATAAAACTTGAAACTTCTAATGTCAATGTTATTTGAATAATTGTGGTTTTTTATTAATTTTTTGTTAAAAACATGTGTTTTGAGCTATATTATTTTTTTATTAATTTTTTTTTATTAATTTTTTGTTAAAAACATGTTTTTTGAGCTATACCATTTTTTTATTAATTTTTTTTTATTAATTTTTTGTTAAAAACATGTTTTTTGAGCTATATTATTAATAATTTTTTTTATCTATTTTAAAAAAGCTCAGAAAATTTATATAAACAATATTGTTAGTTACTGTAACATACCAAGTTGGTGACCATTCATTCAGATAAGTCATGCATGGGTTGGCAAACGTTTTGTTGTGAGGTCCGCATTGAGAACCATTTTACCTTTGAAAGGCCGCATATGTACCTAAATAGTAAATTTTTTCGACCTAGCGGAGAATTATTTTTAGATTTGTGGTTCCCTTTTTTTGGTTATAATGTCTGGCTGACGACCATTTTTGCAAACAAGGCTTCGCGGGTCGCATAAAATGGATCGTGGTTTGCTCACCCCTGCGATAAGTGATCATTCGGTAGAATAATTTGAAATGATAGAACAATAATGAGAGTTTGGCAAAATGAATAGCTTCGTTACCATCTTGAACTTCCTTTATATGATGCCATCAAATGCTTCAAATGAATCGTGAGAAGGAAGAAACACGTTGTTGGCCAACATAAGAGAAGGTGTTTACTCAAATAGGTTGGTGCTTACTTGGATGTTGATGTCTGCACTAATTTGTTGTTGATATTGATGTTATGTTATTGATGTTTTCGTTGTTTATTGAGGCTGTTAATGTTTCTGAAGCTTGTAGCGTGCAATTAACTACATTTGTTTACTGTTAACAGTTAATTTACGTTACACTTAAATCTTCGCTTCGGTGCACACTTTTAGATACTGAATCAGGAAGGATCTTGTGTACGTACGTAACTTTCATATCTTTCTGACAATTCATATTATATTAATTTAAAATCTTGCATTGCTCTTTTAATTGATGAAATGAAATTTGGCAATGATGAAACGTTTTAAAAATAGACATTTTTTCAACGGCACGAGCACTAACATCTTGTTTCGAAGTCCTTCAAGCGATTGTTTGTTTCGAATGTCAAGAGAAAGACCAGCGGCATCGTGATGATGAATATGCAGGACATGAAATGATGAAGAGCATGTGATCCACCTGAACGTACATTCTCAAATGAACAATTTTAGTTTGTATGTGCTCCCATCCGTGCCGAATAATTTCTATCGAATGTTTGGCGTTAATATGTTTGTATTTCGTTTTTTCTCACTAAAGTTTTTTAGTGAAAAAAATTGAAAAAACAAACTACAAACATATTAACGGCAAACATTCGGTAGAATTTATAAAATATTGTACAAATTATGGTCTATTACCAACATATATTATTACAAGTTATTACAAGTCAATTTGTACAGCGCTAATTACAAAAAAAGATCTCAAAAGCGCTCCCTAAAATAAATGAACAAACCAAACATTAATCAAACGAAGACAAAGACATTGTTAAATCTGCGAAAATAAATGAGTCTTCAGTTCCTTTTTAAACAAAAACTTCTTCTTAGAAACGCCGATAGACTGTTCCAAACACACACACACACACACCCATATATATATATATATATATATATATGTGTGTGTGTGTGTGTGTGTGTGTGTGTGTGTGTGCGTGTATGTGTGTGTTACGAGTTCTTTATTCTATGATAAAAAATGACTCTACAACGTTTTGGTTTTTTTTGTTAGCATTATTAATAAACAGCATTATATCAGCGCAAAAACAAAAAGTTAGCTTTTAAACTCCAAAATTATAAAATGGCCCACGTCCTTCAAATCACCTCTAGCAAAACTAACTATTACTAAAAACTAGGCTAAACTATTAACAACACGGTTCTGAAACTAAAAAGCGCTAATCGTATAATTCTTGTTCGTCACTATATATATATATATATATATATATATATATATATATATATATTTGTGAGCGTATGTGTGTGTGAGCGTGTGCATGTTAACATTTTTCATGCATTTTGAAATTAAATTTCATTGGTTCACGCTGTGACACTTATTTTAACATTCGCAATATATCACAATTGACTGAACATCAAAGTGCAAGGTGTTTTTGAAAGTTCAATGTGAAAATTTTGAAATTTTTGGTATAAATATAGCCATGTAGCCGATACATTTCAATGTTAAAATTTCAAACATTTCACTATGTTCCTATCTCTCCTTCTCATCGCTGTTCTTGATATGTTTGCTTTTACGGGTATGTATGTCTTTATTCGTAATTTATAATGTAACTTCGAATAATATAATGTTTTATACTAATTCATAAATATATGATCAATAAACCAATTGTTTGTTTATTCAACAAATCTAGCGATGAAACAGTGATTTTCCAATACTTCGACTACATCCAAAAAAGACTCAAACTACGACACTTTTATAAAGTTTTTCTGCTTTCGAGAATGATTTTTTGTCTCGATCTCCTTCCTCTACCATATTTCTGGTAGTTTCTTGTTAAAATTTTCATTTTCTTTCATCAGATACAAAAGCAGTTGAAATTTTTGGTGCTTGTCTTCCAATCTTTCCAGGTAAAAAGTGACAATGACAGATGATCATTGTTTATGCCGAGTGTGATCAGTCAATTAACTGGAAGAATGACAAATGCAACGAAGGGAGTTCTTTGATTTAAAAAAATTAATATTTGTTTTTTGAAAAAATAACTTGACAAAAATATGTTTCCATTGAGTTGATTTAAAAAATATATTATATAAAAATAATTAACGCTGAAAAAAACATTTTGATAATGAATTATGTGGAATAAACAAAAAAAGCTGATTGTTATCATGTTCAAGCCAAATATTACAATTTCGACAATCTAAATAGAAATTTGTTGTATCTTCAAAATAACTAGTGTTATTTTTTGTTAAATACGGACCCCTTTTTTCGATTAAAATGGAGGTTGACAGATAATTTTAATTCTATTCTGACGAAATTGCATACCAGGCAAAATTTAAAAAATGTCCTTATCTATTCTGGACGTCCACTATTATTTCTTGTTCGTTTGACCGTTGATATACAACTTTCATTGATTTCCACAACGTTCCCTGGTCCTCCTATTTTGGCTAAATTATCGCGTACCCATTTCACGCACAATTCTATGTGGAAATTAAATCAATCTGGCAACGGTTTGTTACACACAGCTCCAGTTTTGAATTTACAGTGGAGCATTAAATTTAATAAAATATGTATATATATGTGTATACACACACACACACACACACGCACACACACACATATTGATATATATATATATATATAAACTTTAGTGAGAAAATTTGAAAAAACGAACTACAAACATATTAACGCCAAACATTCGGTAGAATTTATAGAATATTGTAAATATATATATATATATATATATATATATATATATATATCATAATATTCTTATGTTCAAATTACACTCTTATGTTATCTCCGCCTATAACTGGTTTTCTTTTTATCTATCAAACCGTTTTCAATATTTTCCTATTAAAGAATCTAAATCTATTAATTCTCCTATAAAAACTGGCGTTCCCCGGGGTTCTATTTTGGGTTCCCTGCTTTTTAATTTATTTATCAATGATTTTATCAATTCATCTAACATTTTGAAATTCATTTTATTCACTGTTGACACTACTATTCTTCTTCGTAATTATCATGCATTTGGTTGCGATAGTACAAGGGTATGACTGTTTAGCTTGAATGTAGACTGATTGGATTATTTATTTATTTTTAAATATTGGCTAATTGTGGTATCTATTAATTTATTAAAATAGTTGTTGTTGATTAAAATTATTTAATACGAACTAGTTCTGAACGAAATATGTTAATGTCAGATGAGATTTTATAAGCACGATGTATAAAATTGTATGCTACGTTTTTTTTGTAGTGGTCAGGACAGTCAGACATATTATTTATTGCTAAATTCTATTGTGAAATTTAAGTGGGAGTTGTTCTGAAATATGTTCTGTAGATTTTAGATGTCAGTGACAGTTTTACTGGCGATAAAAATGTCATCAACGTAACCTGCCTATATTAAAGGCTTATTTGTGGCACCCGCGAAGGAAGTGTAGCGTTTGGAGTGTGGACGGCTTGCGGTTTTGACGTAAACCGCTGGTAGCTGGAAATTGTTTATATATGTGGTCATTTAATGTTAACAATCGAATTCCTTATTCAGCGCACGTTACTTTAAATCTTTGCTTAATGGACACTTTGAGATACTAAATTCGGACGAATCTTATAGACATCTTATGAAGATCAAAGCTATTGGAATTAGACAAAGTATTACAATGACTATATATATTTCAGAACAGGTTATGGGTTCAAAATATATTGAATGAGGGTTTGCAAACTTAATATACTTTTTGAAACTGGAGTCATCAACCGTAGTAGAATAGAATAAAATTATGAAATGCGTATTAAATTTGTTTGCAATGGCTAAAGGATTTGTTGTTAAATTATTATATATAATTATAGAAATGTTAGTATTATTCTTGTTTGAATGAATCAAAGACTTAGTTACATTCCAGGTAGATTTTGGATTTCCACATGAAGCTTTAAAGGCATTTTTTTTAATGATGTTGCTTAGCAAGTTTGATTTTGTTGTTAAGTTTATTTCTAATTGTTTTATAATGATTATAATTCTGTATAGTTCTATTTTTATTTTATAATGATTATAATTCTGTATAGTTCTATTTTTAGGATCTTTAATTAATCTTAAGATTATTTTTTGAACCATGGTTGACAATTATTAAATCTTTTACAATATTTAAAAGTTAATGGACAGTAAAAATCTCTGTGTTCAGTTAAAACCCTCATAAATTCAGAAAAGCTTCATTACTATCTTGAACTTCCTTAATATGATACCATCAAATGCTTCAAATGAATTGGGAGGTAGAAGAAATGCGTTGTTGGCCAACATAAGAGAAGGTGTTTACTCAAATCGGTTGATGCTTACTTGGATGTTGATGTCTGCAATTATTTGTTGTAGATATTGATGTTATGTTATTGATGTTTTTGTTGTTTATTGAGGCTGTTAATGTGTCTGAAGCTTGTAGCGTTTGTAACGACATTTGTGGTTATTTATTGTTAAGAGTTGTTTTACGTTACTCTTAAATCTTTGCTTCGGTGCACGCATTCAGATAATGAATCTGGACATATCTTGTGTACGAACGTAACTTTCATATCTTTCTGACAATTAATAATGTAAATTTAAAATCTTGCATCGATCTTTTAATTGATGAAATGAAATTGGCAATGATGAAACAATTTAAAAATAGACATTCTTTCAACGGCACGAGAACTAACATCTTGTTTCGAAGTCCTTCAGGCGATTGTTTGATCCGAATGCCAAGAGCAGGACCAGCGACATCGTGATCATAAATATGCAGGACATGCGATGATGGAGAGCATGTGATCTACTTGAACATTTCCCACTGAAGAATCTGCTGGCAGTTTCTCCACATAATTTTTTCCAGGAACATTTAAAGGACTGTTCGCAATTTATTCAAATGTTAATTTTCACTTATTTATGATACCATTTTATGCTGAATGTGAATGAAATTAACTGTTAGCTGTCTTACGGTTTATAAATAAAAAATAAAAATTTAAGTGATTAAAATTTAAAAGTTGAACGATATATGAACTTGAAACAAAAGTTTCAAGTTTAAAAATTTAAATTCAAGATACATATAATATATGTTAATACCATGTACGTAACAATATTTGGAAGATAGCATTTATTTTTCAACATCATCAAAATCCTTACTTGATACACCTTGTAAAATACCACAGGCATACTTGAAGGGAGGCAGCTTTGAAAAGAACAAAGTGAACAAGTAAATGACGAGAATGATAATTAAGATGGAGACTCCGATGAAGAAAGCGGAGCCGAAGTAATGCATATTTTTCTCGCTCTGTTTATTTTTTGAGTGGCAACGTCACAAACGTCACACATCATTTAACATTCGCAGTAATTAATTGTTATAAACTCAAATTCACAGCATATGTCAAATAAAAAATTATTTTATTTTTTATTAATCTTTTTCTATTATATGTATTTATTAGAGTATATGGATATATATATATATATATATATATATATATATATACATTTGTGAGCGTATGTGTGTATGTGTGTGTGTGAGCGTGTGCATGTATGAAACATTTTTTCACATTAAATTTCATTGGTCCCCGCTGTCACGCTCAATTTAACATTTGCAATATATCACAATTGACTGAACATTAAATGTGCAAGGTGTTTTTGAAAGCTCCATGTGAAAATTTTGAAATTTTTGGTATAAATAAAGCTATGTGGCCAATACATTTCAACGTTGAAAGAGAAATTTCACGATGTTCCGATCTCTCCTTCTCATCGCTGTCCTTGCTGTGTTTGCTCTTGCGGGTATGTTTGTCTTTCATTGTATTTTATAATGTAAATTTTTTTATACCAATTCATAAATTAATGAATAAATATCATTAAATTAATTTTTTAAACAAATCTAACAATGAAACTCCAATACTTTGACTACATCCAAACTACCACACTCATATTTTTTCTGCTTTCAAAAATGCTTTTTTGTCTCGTTAATTTCATCTGCTATATTTCTGCTTATTTTTTGTTGAATTTTGTCAGGTTTCTGCATGAAAAATCTGTATAGGTTTTTTTTATTTTCAATTTTGTTTCGTTAGATACATAAGCACTTGATAAAAATATCAACATTGCAGACCTTCCTTGCGATATTTCATACATAATTTTTTAAACACGTCTGGTCGAAACATTTTAATTTTATGAAAATTTTTAAAACTCACTCTATCATTTAAAGTTTTGTCAGAATATATCCTGGTGAGCGCTGAATCTGACGACCATGCTACTCAAGGAATCTCCAAACGTGCTTGTCCACCTTTCACCTTTGCCATTGATGGTACTTGTGTGACTTTATTTCCAGGTAAAAAGTGACAGTGACAGATGATCATTGTTCATGTCGAGTGTCATTCGTCAATTAATTGGAAGAATGACGAATTCAACAAAGAGAATTCTTTGATTTGAAAAAACTTGAAATTTTAATATTATTTTAAAATTAATATTTGATGTTTGAGAAAAAACTCAACAAGAAAAATGTTTTCATTGAGTTGATTTAAAGAAAAAAAATAATATAAAAATAATTAAAATTAATCCTCATTTAACTAATATTTATGAGACATTTGCTCGCAAAAAACTTTAATATTCATTATGAAAGAAAATTTATTTATTCTTTTGTTTATTTAAAAAAATGGACGTCATATTTGCGTTAATATATGACAAAAATATGTTCGCCAATCGCCTGCTTTGTACGTGATGCGTCGTTTAGGGGCTGTCCATAAAGGATGTCACGCTTTTTAACGTTCTTTGACCCCCCTTCCCCGTGTCACAAACTGGCTAAAGACAAAAAAAGCAATCGGGGATGCTTGAAAAGAATCTAAATTAATAGATGAATAAATTGTCGTACAAATCACCATTAATTTATCTTGGACCAAAATATACATCTATTGAAACGTTTTTATTTCGATTCATCCGGATATAATTTTAATTAAAGTTCAAGTATTGTCAACAATGACAATTATCAGCAAGCCTAAAAACGGCATGATTGGTTGTGTTACATTTTGGGCGTATTTTAAATGTTCCACGGTGATATCATGTTACTTATTGAGAAATAATAAAATATATTATTATATAACTGTTTTTATGCATATTGACAAGTTGCAAAAAAATTTTATGATGGAAAAATATGAAAAAATTAACACTTAAAAAACTTTTTGTCTATTTTGAATTTTTTCATTTTTTAAAGAATAAGAAACCCATTTTGTTTTGAGAGATGTTATTGAGCTATGAAAGCACTATACAAAAACAATCAAAAATATTAAAAAAATTGTGTTCTTCATGGCTAAAAATGGCGCCAAACAATATGAGTTTTTCAATTTTTTTAATACAAAAAATTCATTAAGATATACTGGCTCGTCTGAGAGATGTGGCGTTCTACATAGGTACAAGTTTAGAAAAAAAATCACTCCAAAATTGGAGGGTGGTGTCACAAAAATTTTCATAACTTGAAAATAATTGAGTTTTTTTTTTATAAAAATTTTATTTCAGAGATGGTCGGCAGTGGACCACGGTTCAAGTTGACAGAGAATTATATATATATATATAATATATATTATATGTTATATGGTCTCAGCCATTGCTCATCTTAGAAATTTATATCGAGTCAGACATTTGCTGGATAGATCAACTCTGGAGGATCTGGTCCATGCGTTCATAACATCACGACTGGACTACTGCAACAGTTTGTTTTACGGTTTGCCTAATAGATCAATTGACATGCTTCAGTCGGTTCAGAACAGGGCTGCAAAACTTGTAACTGGCAAATTGAAATTTGACCATGTAACTCCAATATTGAACGAGCTTCACTGGTTACAAATTAAGAAAAGAATAATTTTTAAAATTGCAGTGATTGTGTTTAAATCCTTGAATGGAATGTCACCGGCTTACATCTCAGACAAATTTTCCAGGAAGGCATCTACAACCTGTTTTCATCTAAGATCAGATAATATGAATCTTTTGGCGGTCCCAGCTAGGCATCTACGAATAGGTGCGAGAGATATTGCGGTCGCAGGTCCGACAGTCTGGAATGACCTACCAGTTTCATTAAGAAGATCTGGAATTAACTTTGTGACATTTAAAAGGGAATTAAAAACATACTTATTTTCTGTGGAAAAACAATGAATTTGAATATTTTGATTTATATCAATCATGCACAGTTATTTGTTATTTTATTTTTGATGGCGCTTTTGAAATTATTAATTTGCGCTATACAAATGTTTCTAAATAAAATAAAAATAAATATATATACATATATATATATTATTTATATAATATATATATATATATATATATATATATATTATAGCAAGTTACATAAAGGCTGTGAGTATAATATCATTCACGATTAAGGTTTCAATTAGTCCAAAGGTTACAACGAGTCGTCATTCTCGTTGGTTAATTAATTCAGAAGTAGGAATTAAATGAATGCTCTGATGTATTGTTTAAAAGATAAAAAGTACAGTTGGTGTTATGAAACCACTCCTCAGCCAAGAGCAAACAACAGGGTGTTTTTCTGGCCACGAGGTAAAGTAATGGGAGGATCATCTTCTTTGAACGCCATGGTGTACGTACGGGGTCACCCATACGATTATGATCGTTGGGAACAAGAGGGAGCCAAGGGGTGGTCCTACGCCGACTGTTTGCCTTACTTCAAGAAAGCTCAAACTCATCAATTAGGAGGTGATGATTACCGTGGTGACAGTGGACCGCTCTACGTGTCCAGAGGAAAATGGAACAATCCATTGTACCATGCTTTTGTTGATGCCGGCTTGCAAGCTGGGTATCAACATACAGAAGATTGCAATGGATTTAAACAAGTTATTCTTTGCTCACATTTTGCTCACATTTTGCATTCCTCAATTTATTTTTTGTATAATACATTAAGTATTGTATTTTATACATTTTACATTAGTCGTGCTATAAAATTAATAATTTGGGCCTCGCTTTACACAGAATGGGTGGTGTGATGGTCTAGTGGTTAAGGTTGCCTGGCGCTGTTTTGCAGTGCGTGCGGCAGCGTGCGGTGACCACGTTTGTAAATTTATTTTAATAATTTAACAACTATATACTGTATCAACGCAAATAGTTTCATACATCGAAGAGGAAAATTTAATAGCTTAACTCTGGCGGCCAAATAATAAATATTTTTAATTATTTATTTCCTAGACAATAGCAAGCAAAAAATAAACATGCAAAAACATTTTCAAAGTCGATGCATCCACGCAGTGGCACTAGTTTATAATGTTTATATAAATGCTCTCTGCCTTCATTTTTCTTTTCTTCAGCTTTGAAATTCAACATAATACGGTTTAAGATCTTAGAAATTTTGTTTACAAAGTAAACACGAATGACCATCTTTTACTTAATGTTCCTTTAATGAGCAGCACAATTTGTTAAGTAGCTAGAAATAATAATAATGAAAAATAGAGGTCTTAAATCAAGGGGAGGTCTGTCAAACCCGACAATCTCAATCAGCTTGGCTATATAAGACCAGTAAATAAAACTAAATATGCGTCAATATTATTATATATCAGTGAGTTGGTTTGAGATCGTCCTGCTTGAAAGGCCTAACCCTTTAAGCAATGCATCAAAGTTTTTGTCTGTTAAACAAAATATTTAAAATATTATAATATAATTTTCTATATGCAGGAAGGATTTGGACATTTTGACATGACCATAAAAAATGGTGTAAGATGCAATGCTTCCATGGCTTACATTCATCCAATTTTATCAAAGTTAAAAATTGAAAATTCCACAAA